GCCAGGGCCAGTACTGGGGTGTGGTGTCCAGGTGTAGTCGGGTCCTGGATGCAGTGCTGATCTTTTGGATGGAAACCGGCGGCGCGCGGACTCGCAAGCGTGTCCAGTTATGGCAGGCTGGGGCTGGCACGCTGCAAGTGCGTGTGCGAGCAAGCGCCCCAAACAAAAGCTCCCAGCAGTGGCCGTGCGGGCTGCGCGATTTGAATCACTACACACCACCCACGCTACACTTGGAGCCATGCCAACCGCCGCCTCCCTCACCAAGCGCCCCAGTGCATGCGTAGCGTCGTCAAACTTCTTGGCAGCTGCCGCGTAATCGCCCTCCTTGAACAGCAGGCAGCCGGCGTTGGCGACAGCGCCCGGGTCATCAGGGCCGCACTGGTCCAGCTGGCGGCGGCAAGCTGCAGGCATGCGTGTGTGCAAGTAACCAACCACGCATTGTGCGGGCAAGAAAGCCGGGTGGATCCAAGAGATGCGGCACAAACTGGTCAGGTCTGGTTTGAGAAAAAATTGCTATAACGCTCGGCGGTGGCTGCTTCTTGCCTTGCCACAGAAAGACGCAGAGCAGCCAGCCGCCACCACTCCGAATGCGCCCAGCGGCCCGCCCGTGTTCCCTCTGCCCACGTACAGCTCGCACCCACCTGCCACATCCCCCTGCTCATAGGCAATAGCCACCTGCAGGGTGGCGGCAGCGCGTGCGTGCTTCTGCGATGCCGACGACGCCACGCGCGCAGCCGCCTTTGACGCCTCCGCGTATAGTCCCGCCTGCGGTGGGATCGGCTCGGAAGACTTGGCGCCTGGTGGCAGGCACCCCTACCTGGCGCGGGTCAAGTGAAGCAGCCGAATGTGCTGCAGACGTGGACGCCTCAGCCAGCCCCACCACGTACGCAGGCGTTGAAACGGTTGAAAGGCCAAGGTCGCACACGGCGTTGAAAGGCCAAGGTCGCACACGGCTGTGTTCTCCGCCTTAACTGTCCCCGGGAAACCATTTTGCGGGCGCTCATCCCCGAACTCAAAAGAATCCACTACGCCCACCTTGTGCAGGCTGTGCGCCAGGCTCAAGGGGTAGTCCTCATTTTCAGGGTACAGGCGTGACAGCTGATCGTACCTAAAATAATGTATATTTGTGTCAGCATGAGGAGGGGGTGCAGGGTTGAGGCTTGCTTGGATGTTGGGTGTGGCGTGCGGCAGCGATAGAGTACCCAAGGTGGTGCGTGGGCAAACACCGGGGAGCAGCACCAGCAACATATGCTGGTGGCGGCGCCACCCCCAGAACGAGCCAGCAGCTGCAGTGACGGCACGGCTGCACACGCTCAACAGCCGCCTCACATTTGTGAGGCAAGCTCAAACTCATCGGTCTGGAAATAGCAGTGGCCCAGCAGCGACAGTGCTGCGCGGCTCTCTGGCGTCTCCTGCGGCCGGAAACGCAACGTTTTGGGACTGGCACTTGCGCAAACAGCGGCACATGCTGACACGGCATTCGGCGTGGCGAAAAAGCACATGCTACTGGCCCCTCGCCTCGTCGCTCTGCCTGGCCTTGCAATTGGTGCTTGGCTTTGACATTGCCTCGCTCAAAGCACAGAGCAAGCAGTCCGTGCACAGACCATCCTGCTGTGCCCACCAGCAGCTGCTGCTGCAGAACGTCCACCGCGTCGGGCCACTTCTGATCGCGTATGTAGCCATACACGGACTGTGTGATCTGCCCGTCGGGGATGGCACGCGGCTGATGCTCCATGAACGCCATCGCCAACAGCGCGCCAGCGGCAGCACGGACGTCTACACGTTACGCTGCAGCGTCAACGGCAATGTCAACACCGCTGCTCACGAGGTCAAGTTACAATAGGGCATGATCGATTGACTTATGATGATTATGCGGATCGAAACGAAGGACCCTGGACCGCGAGAAGATCCCACATACAGATCGTCATCAAAGTCAAACCGTGAGATAGTCTGTGTCAGATTTATGTGAAGAATCTGTATGTTGCTTATTATACAGTCGCGGCAACATCACCGCGGCCACATGTGGCTTTGGCCAAAAATCATGCGATCACTTACTGTAGCAGGCACCTATGAGTGCCTTAACACCGGGATACCCCATGTTTTACGCAACTACGGTACCAAAAAAGTATCGACATCTTGACATCCCTGCGATGTTCTACTTCACTCACGCTTGGTCAACTGCAGTCAAACATTGTATCATCCCGCATCCTGCTCTGCCGGCTTGTATTCCTCAAACCACGAGCTAAGCACGCGTCGCATGACTCCGTGTGTAAGCTTGGGGGGCAACGTCTCGGCGCGCGCCACAACCCAGCCATACAAAGCCGTTGTCACACCTGCAGGGGTTGACCAGACCAGGGACAATGATGCAGGAGGGATGCTTGCTCGATGCTGGAAAGCGCAGACGGAGCCTCCTGCAGAGGGCTTCAGGACACCTGCTGCATGAACAGACCCTCCAGGCGCCACAGCAGCGCAAGACGCAAGCCCACCTGGCGTCCACCCGTAAGGTGTCCCAGTAGGCGGCACCCTGTGCAGCGCCGTGTCAGCTGCGAATTGCTCATAATTTGAGTATGTAATCTGAGATGAGAACACAACAGTGCCTGCCTGTATCCAGCAAGATGAATGGGGGCGTGGCGGCTGTTGAGCGTGCAAATTGAGTACTCTCGGAACACATGTTGGCAGTGATTTCTGCTCAGTCAACAACTCCAAGGAATGCGCTCATAATGCTGGAAATTGGCAATACACATCCCCGCTGTGCCCATATCCTCACCACTGTCAGGCCTGGTTGTGCCGCTGCACCTGTTGGCAGGACATCGGGCAGCGTGGACCGCCCCTCGTCGCCATCGGGAGTGGCCAGGAGCAACACAGGGCGGCCTGCGGTGTGTGAAGGGGTTGATCAAGCGTCAAGCGTGCTCCACTGGCATGGCATTCTCTGCTGTTTGAAGGTATCCAGCAAAGTTCAGCGCATTATGGATTCAATTGCAAGTTATGTGCGCACAATCCCTCCAACCCCTTCCAGGTCACGCACCCAGGAAACGCTCGGGGATCGCATAACGCCGCAGCTCAACAGTCTTCTCCCCGCTCAGCAACATGGCGGCGTAACGTGCCTGATGGAAGTGGAGTGAAAGGGTGACACAGACAACTGGGGTTGCGCATGGCTGATGCTGACTGTGCCGCAATAACGGTGTGAGTAAAGGGGTTCATGACCTGTGCCCGGCACAGGTGGTCGGACGGATGCTGTGCCGAAATCCTTGCCTTCAGCTCCAAACCAAGCGCCATGTGAACCGCAGTTGCCAACACAAGTCGCGAGGCAAGTGGGCTTGTCCGGTACTGTATGCCGTTGGATCTAGGGTGTGACAGTTCGCAAGACGCCGATAGCTGGGTATAGAGCAATCTAATGCGCAATTCAAGATGGGCAGCGCGCGCTCCTACGCAGCCGCATGAGGCCAGGCCGCCAGCTTCCCGTGAGCTGACCGACTCACTGGCGCCAACAACTTTAAAAGGCACGACCGGGTGCTCCCCATCACATACTTTATTCGCAGCCTTTGCCCGCAGCTTCTCATATCCATCACCACACCTCCCGCTTCCCCAGATCACATCCGTTGCCACCATGCTGTCCTCTCGCGCGTCCATGGCTGTGAAGCCCGCCGTCACCGGCGCTCGCCTCTCCATGGTGAGGCCCTCCCTGGCGATCAGGTCCGTCAGGGCCCGCGCTGCCGCTCCTGGTGGTCTCGACACCGAGGAGCTCAAGGAGAAGGTCCAGGCCTTCGCTACTGACGCCACCGCGGCCATCAAGGTATGAGCCGTTTAGATACAACCTGCGCACGCGTTGGGACAAGCGTCTGCCGCTCGGCGGTTTGGCGGGATGTTGTGATCACCTGCCAGTGTTTGACCTGCGCCGCAGTGCCGCCAAGCACCGCATCCCCACGTATGTAATGCTCTATCTGTGCCATATGCTCTCACAGGCACAGTGGGAGAAGACCGAGGACAAGCCTGCTGGTGAGCTGCCCAGCAAACTGCGATCTTCAGATGCTGCAAGATATTTCGGCTGTCAGCGCCATGCTGCACACACGTGTTCTGAAACCCTGGCTGTGCCGGCCTTGACTGTCGCCCCGCAAAATCAATCAATGGCACCGTTAGAAAAAGCCATGCACTGGATGGCATGCTGATCAAGCGTCTCAAACGGTTCACTGCCTCCCACCCGTCACCCCCAGCTGTCGTGGTGGCCGTCGGCACCGTGGTGGCCGCATCGTTCGCCCTGAATGTTGTCAACACCGTCGACAAGGTGCGCGTGCCGATATGCTTTCAACCGGCGCTGGTGCATGCTCCCCAGATCTCCGTACAGTACTTCATGACGCATGCCCCCAATGCAATGGTTGGCCCCAACCCACACTCCCAAGATAACCCCTCTCATCATCAAACCCACTGTCACTCTCATGCGCACCACCCTCAGATCCCCGTGGTGTCGGACTTTGTTGAGCTCGTGGGCATCGCCGTCACCGGCTGGTTCACCTACCGCTACCTCACCGTCGGCCCCGACAGGTGGGACACCTACTGTTTCTGCTTGGAGGCCGTCACGCCTGAGCCTATCCTCGCATTTCTTATTGTCTACAGGCTCCACCTAGCCTTGGCAACCTCATCCAGCTTCTTGGCTTGCCATTGCATCATGATTTTGCCAAAATCGCACTTCCCTGTTACCTGTCCCATCAATCATGCCCCCTTGCCACCAACACCACCAGGGACGAGCTGTTTGTGACCCTCAAGACCTGGTTCAACAAGGTCTACGGCAACAAGCTCTGAAGACCGCGCACTCACCTCCGCCTCGCTAGGCACGTGTGGTTCCTGGCCCACTGCTGGCGTGGCGGGCAGCTAGGTTGGAGGCACATCTGGCAGTAAATTTACACCCAACACACATGGCACACAAGCACCATCAAACCCAGGCGTTGCGGATCCCAGTCGCGCGCCCTTGCTGAGTCGACCAGTACCAACTCTACGTGAAACCCGCTCGCTGCTGTCGGCGCGGTGCCGCTCCATCCCCCCACCTTTGGCGGATGCATGGCCCGCGCCTGGCCAGCCTAGGTCACAGATGATCCCGACGTGTTTGCTGCCTTGCCTGCACGCCTTGGTTTCGAGCGCTGCGCCCTGGCCTGTACTTTTGGGCGCCGCTCCTCTGATTCGACGAACTGTACTGGTATCGGACCGCCCACCAGAGCCGGCGGATTGAGCAGAGCACCCCGCACCCACCATCCACAGCAGTCCACCCGCGTGTCTTTGTGATAGCCTGTCATGTTGACTCCCGCAGCAACCAAGAGTCGTGGCCACACAACTTTGTGTTTGCCCCTGCTTGCATATGCACTGCAAGCACGGCCGCAATGGCCGTCACGTGTGTAACACAAGCTTTGTGCCCATCACCACATTGCTAGTTACACCAGCAAAGTTCAGCCCATGAACAATTAACTTGATGTCATATCGCGCACTGGGCAACGCAGGGTTAGCATGCGACCTGCAAACCCCATCCCACCAGCCACATGGGATTGTGAAGTTGCATGCTCGTTAGCACAGCATGTCAACAGACATGGTGAAGCAAAAGAAGTATTTTGGGCACGGGGCCAGACGACCACCAAAGCACTAGAAACATGAAGCTCTCAAGCAGCGCCCCTCTAAATACACACACAAGCACTCACACAACATGCCCATGATGTCGGGACGCAGCGCAGCTGCAGCATAGCGGCCCTGGGGGCTGCCGCCGCGGCTGACCACCACCCATGAGTGCCCGCCTCAGCCGTCATTATGGTGCCATCCGCCCCGCGCCTTCCCCTGTCCCCGGGCCCCCTTGGGCCCTTTCCCCTTGCCGTTGCCGCTCTCCACACTGCCGCCGCTGTCGCCCGGTTTCCCCTTGCCCTTGGCCTTGGGCTGCTTCACCTTGGGCGACTTGGCTTTCGGCGGCTTCATCTTGGCCTTGGCCTTGGCCTTCTTGACGCCGCCGCCCTGAACACCCAGATCCGCACCGCCGCCGCCGCCGCCGCCAGCCGCCGGCATCGCGACCCCGAGCTGCCGCAGGGCCTTGCCCAGGCGCGTCACAAACGACTGCGCAGCCTGGTTGGCCACGTTGGCCACGACCCCGGGCGACGCGCCCTGCGCCTGCGCCTTCAGCCGCGCCGCATCACTCGCCTCCTTCATCGCGGCGTTGTAAATAGCACGCCGCGCGGCCGCGTCCTCAAGCGCGGCCATGCGGTTGGCGGCGGTGAACACTGTGCCGGGCGAGAGGCTGTCTGCTGCGCGCTTCTGCAGGGCGCCCAGGTTGGGATTGGCCGCCGCCGCCGCCGCCTTCTTGGGGCCGGCCTCAGCCCGCCGCTGCTGGCGCCGCCACCCCTTCAGCTGCTTGGCGGTGAGCCCCTCCGGCGGCTGCGGCTGCTGCTGCGGCTGCGGCTGTGGCGGAGCTGGGGCGAGCGCCTGCTGCGCCGACGTGACCAGGTCCGCCGCACTGCTTGCGGGCGGCGGCAAGATGACCACCACCTGCGTCAACCCCTGCGCACCGCCGCCGCCGCCCACCGCCGCCGCGCCCGGGGGCAGCACCGCCGGCATGTGCGCGGCGTACTGCGCCGCAGCCGCCGCGGCCTGGTACAGCTGCTGCTGCTGCTGCTGCTGCAGCACCGCCGCCGGGGCCAGGGCGTGATGCTGCTGCTGCTGCTGCTGGCTCGCGTGCTGACCGGGCCCGTGTGCCCGCGGCGCCGTGAGGCCCGCAATACCAGCCAGCTTCCGCTTGATCCCCTTGCCGGCCACTGCCACACCCTTGCCGCCCTTGAGCCCCTTGCCCTGCTTGCCAGCGCCGCCCTCAAACCCGGCCCCGCCGCCGCGAACGGCCGCGTCGCGCTGCGCCGCCGCGGCCGCGCCCGCCGCCGCCGCCAGCTCGCGCCGCTGCAGGTCGGCGGCGGTGCCGCGCCCTACGGCGGCCAGCATGGTCAGCGCATTGCTGAGCAGCGGGAACAGACGCACCAGCGGCGCCGCAGCGTCCTCACGGTGCGCGCC